ACGGTCTTTTGTGCTTAAACATGTTCGTCTTAGAACACATTAAGTGACTTTGGCATGTAGAAGGCCGTTATGCCTTCTAGACGTCGAATGAACTTGTGTTCTAATTGGAATGTGTTCCACCGTGAATGGAATCAAGTTCATTTCGAACGCCCGTCCTTCAGTTGTATGGCTTGTATTCTGGAACACGATATTTCACGATGGTGGATGTTTATCGATATTTCACCGTCAAACGTTTAAAATTGTTAAGCCATGTTAACTTTTGGATGGACGGACTACTTGCCTTAAAATATTTATTTAGCCAAACATTTATAGTGAATTCAATTGACTACGTCAGGATGGTATTTGTATCCTACTCATGTCGATGGCATATGTATTGATTTTGAATAAGAAACAAAAATATTCCTTTTATGAAATTGATGAAATCAATAAATTATTGAGACTGTTCCGCGAATCAAATATATTCTTGTCCTGTGCACCACATTCGTGTTTAAGAGGTTAAACAGAATTTCAGCAAAACTCTACAAGCACTTAGACGGCTCTCTTATCTGACTTCCACAGTATATTGGCTATACTTAACTCCGCGTTTGTTTTGTTTTTTGTTTTTTTTAGGTGAAAAAGCGCAATATCTGGAACTTTAGTGGCCTTTACATAGGACTCTGAACACGCAACCCTGTTGCAAGCGTCAATATTGAGTTATCTTCTTCAATGTCTTTCCAGCTGCAAACGCACATTTTATGATAGGCAATAAACATTTATTTCTCATCCATTTAGAGGCACAAATTTTTAACTCCCCGAACAAGCACGCTGAACGAGTTTAAGCAACAGTTCGGTTTATTGGGGCCCTGTAGCGGCGGCTCCTTTCTCAAAGTAGAGTGGTCTGCTTTCGAGAGTGGCCTTCACACAAACATTTCGGGTATCAACTGTTAGGCTTGCCGACGAAGTCAAGCCAGCCGTCGCAAAGGGGCACTTTATATGGCACGCTGAAGGGTGAGGCAGGCGAAAGTAACAGGGACATAAGACATAATACAACAGAAAGTCAAGTGTTAAAATGTACGTACTGCTCTTTTTTGCAACAGTGTTAAAACACCTGCATGGTGAAGAATTTCGGAGCCTTGCAAAAGGAATGTAAAGTTCATCTGCTTTTAGCAAGTTTGCAAAAAGCAAAACTGCCCAATACAATATTTCGTTGCAACTCAGACACCGAAAGGAAATGTCGACGGATTTGTGAAGAGGCGGGGAACCCTGGCGGTTCTGCGCCGGCTCCGCCAAAAGGCGTGGATCTAGGAAGAGACGGTCATCACTGGGGGATCTGCTTTTCGGCTAACCTGCACAGCCAACATTGGAGGTCTATTGCGCATCGTACGTATGTCGTATTCTTTCCAATCCTATGATTTAGCGATGTTCCACTGTTTAATATTACAACCGCAAGTTTACGACGGCTTTACAAAAATCATTCACATGCACCGAGGGAAATATTTCGTTGCGGACATCAAATTTTTGATACCCACTACCGAATTCTGTTCGATCTATCAGAGAGCCTGTCAGCCTGTAACTGCTGGAGTACGGGCTTAAAGTACGGACCAACGTGGGGTCTGTGGGCACTACAGTGAATCATGTGCGGTCATCCAGTAACTTCCCCACCACCGTTTTCCACGCATCCCAGACTCCTCCTCCGTCGCTTGGTACGATTTTCTAATGCACCCCAGGTATGTGATGCGGTGGTATCTGCGCAGCCCCCAAACGCTTGTTTTGACCACACAATGAACGAGCTCCCCCGGCATGTGCGAATCGTGTCTGCGCGGGGGCGGCTCACCGGGGGGGATGGCTGCTGGAAGGGGTGGCGGCGCGCTGGGGGCCTGGCTGGGAACGCTGCCGGCGCGAGCAGAAGCGTCCCGGCGCGCCGACCCGACACACCGAGCGAGCGCGCGCGTCCCGCTCGCCACCCCCTACTCGCGACCGTGGCGACGTGCCTCGCGAGTGGCAAGCGAGCGCGGCAGTGACGTTGTGATGGAGAGCAGGACTTATTGAGGTGGAAGCAGACCGGCGTCAGAATGTTGGATGCGGACAGCGCAGGTAACGGGCGCTGACTGAACGTGCAGACCCACGAGGAGCCGTTTGCACGGCTACGGGGATCGTCAATTATTCCCAAAATTTATTATTTTTAAACTCTATATTTGAGTATAATTATGGAGCATGCCTTGCTCCCTAGAGCATGCCTTGCTCCCTAGCACTGCTCAAACATTTTGTCCTGAGCACCAATGTCGTACATAATTTATGCGTAAGTACCTTGCACTGAGTTCAGGTTGAGATTTCTGCAAACATGATTTTTGTCCACATTCCTGTCTCAAAATCGTAAATTCTAGCGACAATATTTTATGTGATTTCTTACTACACTACTTAACTGAAAACTATTAATTGACTGTATCGGCTTTACCTGCAAGGATGCATAAAATTTAGGGTTTCTTTCCTTTAGGACGACAGGCACCATCACGAAGAGAAAGACGTTACGCCATTATTGCATCCCGTATCGACGGATTTCTTTACGAACAGGATAAGACCATTTTCCAAAAGCGACATGTTTTCTTTTTTTCATTAGTATAATACAGTTATATTTTTCCCATCACCGACGTTTTAAATTTACAAAACCCACAACTGCAAACGACAGTTATTTATACGCGGTACATAGCAATGTCTGTTTTTTGACGGGGAATAACGGAAGACTTTGAGGTACTCCCTTGGTTTGAGAAAATCTCCTAAGATTTTGAAGAAGTCTCTTAAAAAAAAGTGTGTTTTCTTCATTTTTTGAGATTCCTCAGAATTAATTTCAGGCGAGATCTGAGGAGTTTCCCTTAAACCAAGTGAGTTTCTCTAAGTTTCCCTTTCCCCTCAAGAAAATAGCCATTGTTTTAAAATAGGAATACTGCAAGAAAGAACGCGCCAGTTCCATCGTTCGGTATTCTGTCCTATAGGGTTGCGGCTGGAAGTTTCACAAAGTTATTAAAGTCGCTCCGTCCTTAACGAGAGCTCTCTGAACTGGGTAACACGTTTTTTAATAGAAAATCTGTTATATGCAAGCTTGAGTAGTATTGGTACAATCATGGATGACCTCGTGAGGAATTTCATTCGTTTTATCATTAATTTAGTATTTACGGTTAACTACTCTGGTAAAACAAAGGTGTGCTTATAGTCATGCCTTTACCGGAGCACTACATACATTTTAAGTTTAGTGCTTCTCAAAGGCACCAAACAGGCCAAAATGTGCTAAAATTGTGCCTTTGAAAGTTTTAGTGCCTTTGAAAGCGCCTAATGCCTTTCAAAGGTAGGAGTTAGCATCTATGTTTTTCCAGTGATCAAATCAAAAACTAAATGCAACAATAAACGACAGGAGTACACAGAACGAAGTCTTCGACGTACACCAGTAAAACAAGTGCTTAATTGTGCATGTCAATTGATGCATAAGTTCAAGTCTGGAAAATGCAGACGCATTGTGGTGTCAAATTATACGTTAACTGGTGCGCAAACTTTCGATATTTCCGAAGAGTATAGCAGCTCTACAACATTGTAGTTCCCACTGATAGAATAGAACTCAAAATTTACAAGTTGACAAATCGTCAAAAATTTGCACGTTACACAAGTGTGCATCTTTAGTAAGACACCACGTGATGTGCAAATTCATGGCCTGCCCCTGTTTTCCGAGTGTACCGCGACCAGACGCTCTACTTAATTAATTAATTATGGAAAGGAGATTAAACCAGGAGACTTTTCTTTTAACCAGTGCAAATTTCCACAAGAGCGCGACAAGCGGCGGAGACGACGTCGCTGCCCCCAGCCCGGTGGCTGGGCAGGAAGGTCAAAAGAAGGGAATCTCGGGAAAGTTTTAATAAATAGCTCGGGTACTAAACTCTCCCTGAGGGACCACAGCTGCACCCATAAGTCGAGAGGAGAGTCTGTGGTGGGGTGAGGCTGCGGTTAAGAGAAGCAGCAAGGGAATAGAGGGGCTGGGGTGCACCAA